AAATAAAATGATTGATTGACACCAAAAACAACATGAGATTTTTTTCTGTATATTTTCAGTTTTATCAATTTCCAAAATGAACGGAAATTGAATTTTTTTTTTCATTCTCAGAATCTTAAATTCTTGAACTAACAAATCAATCAATCAATCACAGGTGGTCATCATATTGTCATCGAAGCAAGAGATCTATGATTGATCGGGATGGATCGACGGTTTTTATAATGACTGACAAGCAAACAAGAGGACCACCGCCGACACACATACACACACACACTCATCTGTGGTTCAATCACTGGATTTCTTTCTGTCGCCAATCGATCGATCGATCTATCAGATCATTTTTTTTTCTTTCTTTCGAAAAAAAACTAGATGACAAACAGTGGAAACAAAAAACACCGACAAATCACCTTTCATTTTTTCCATTGGTGTTGTCGGTAAAAGATCAAATAAAAAAAAATAAAGAAATAAAAACAACCTACAACCTTGATACAACTCAATCAAGACAAAATAGAACAAAAAAAGTAAATTTTGGCACTTTGAACCAAAAAAGAAAAAAACCGCATATATTACGTCATATCATTGATATAGGGAAAAGCAATCGCAGCAGCAGCAGGTGTTTGAATTGGATTATCGATTTGAATTCGATTTCCATAATTTTTTAAAATGAAATTTTGTTATTGTTATCATTATTATTAGGTAATAATAATAATAATAATAATAGTGATTTTCCATTTCCGTTGCTCGTTATTGTATTGCCAGAAAGAAAAAAAAAATGGCGGCTGAAGAAAAACAACAACAACAACAACAATATGAAATACTCACGCAAGCTGTATGTGCGCGCAACTTGTTTCAATTCAATTTTTTTGTTTTCATATTTACACGCGATGGCTATTCAATGATGATGATGATGACGATGATGGCTTCAATTGATGATTGATTTTTTTTTTGAAGTTTTGCCGATTTATATTTGTAACCAGTGGAAGAAAATGTTACAGAAAAAAAAAACAAAAAGAAAAAAGCCGCCGCCACCAACAACAACAACAACAACAAAAATGAATTAAAGATGAAAAAAAATTTGCCGATTCAATGATCGTTGCTGTTGTTGTTGTTGTTGAGTGAATTACCGAGTGAGTTCATATAACGCAATATGACGAATATTTGGGTCAAAGGTCAGGTTCCACAATTATGATGATGGCCGCTTTTTTTTCTCTGGCCCTCTCTCTCTGTGTGTGATTCAATCATATTGTGTAAAATGTTTTTCTTTTCTTTTCTTTTCTTTTTTAAAAAACCACCATGACATGTGACATGACGCCAAACCGATCAATCGATCAATCTATTTATCGATATGGCAACACCATATGGTCATTTTTCCCATGGTTTTCCAATGAACATTATGCCGATTTTTCGTTATACGTGTGTGTGTGTGTGTGTTTGATGTTTGCCGCTTACTGGTCATCATAATCATGTTTGATAATCATTATCATCGAATTGCGTAACAGCAAACGAATTGAGAAAAAAAATCCGATTAAAATCAATTTTCCACACACACACACACCTATGTTTTTTTCCGTTCAAAGAGATATACACTTGTCACGCGACAAATTTGTTCTCTGATCACTGAAATGTGTAAAAAAAAAACTTTAAATTCTCTGGAAAAAATTCAAGTTTTTTCTGATTCTTTACAAATTGTTTGATTTTTCGGCATTTTTTCTTTCATCTTTTTCTGCATTATCATCATCATCATCATCATCATCATCATAATCGTTGTCGTTTAGTTTGTCGTTTGGTTCACCACGGTCCATCAAGATGATGGTGATTAAAAAGCCGAACATTGAAAAAAGAAATAAAAAAAAAATCTAGTGCCGGCATGTATCAAACCACAAAATGCTCAACAACTTGCGCGGCATTTTTTTTCTACTTTTTTTTAATGTTATTCATCAATTTTTTAATTTCTTTGCCTGTTTCTTTGTTGGTTAAATACATTGTGTGTGCGTACCGTATAAGCTCGCACGAGCATCAAGCTCTCTTGTTTTTTTTTTATCAAGAAAACAGATTGTATAACAAGCGCGAAAAAAAAGACGCAAGAAAGAAAATCATCCACTTGGTCGGCAAATTTTCTTTTATCAAGATGATGATGATGATGGCGATATTTATCACCCAAAGATGAAACAAAAATCGTTATGCAAATGTTTTTTTTTTTTTTTTTTTTTGGCCAACACAAGGATCGCCATTTGTTTTTTGTAAATTCATTCATCATATATGATTTTGTTTGCTGAGAAAACCTATGATTAAAATCCAATCCAGATCATTTCATCACCTTTTTTTCAAAATTTCGGTGTGTTTTTTTTTAATCATGATGATGATATCATGATATTGATCAAAAAAAAAATGGATTCAAATTCATTGAATCCGGGAATATTTTTTTTTTTTTGTTCTTTAGCGATAAAAAAAAATCTTCACATATTTATGACATGACAGTGCCATTATCTCATCATTTAATCTTGTTTGGCGGCTTTTTTCTCTTTTGATTATCATCATCATCATTGTGGTGGTGGTTGATCTGGATTTAGATTTGAAATTTTTTTTTTCATTTTTCAATATTTAATTGAATTTAATCGACGTTTTGATCATGATGATAATGATGATGATCAATCACTAATCATCATCGAATGATACTAATGTTTAGTGGGCGGATGGTTCGATTCGATTCGATTGGATGGCCAGTATACAATATACTGGCCATTCAATTTTAATTGGGGGAGTGGCTTGTCCTCACACACACACACACACACTTTTTTCACGAAAAGCGGCAAAACATCAAAGATAATTTTTCTTTCTTTCTTTCTTTCTTGTTTGCAAGAAGAAAAATAAAAGGTAAAATCTTTCTTTTTTCATTCGTTTTTTCCACTTTTGGATATTTCAAATCCAATTGCTGCAATGATAATAATTTGTTCGCGAAAGAATCGGCTTGTTTGTAGCTTGTTTGTTGTTGTGTTGTTGTTGTCATAAAAAATCACACAACACCTTTTTTTTCTTCTTTTCTTGCCACCATTTGATCACCAACGATCGAGATAGTTTGTTGGGTGCACCCAACTCTAAATAAACTTGGTCTTTCTGAAGAGAGAGAGAAAGGGTACCGAACAAACAAACAAACGAAAATGGTTACAATCCACCATCAATGGATGGTTGAACGAATTTTTTATTTCTCATATACCCGATCTCGACAGAAAAAACATAGTGACCCAAGGGTGTGGTTGTTGTTGTTGTTGTCCGGTTATTTATTCGGTTCAATTTTTTTTTGTTGCTGTGGATCATCAATGATTTAATCCTAAAGAAAAATTAATATCGAACTATTGACCTAGTTATGATTACCATCATGATGATGATTGATATTCGATAAGAGCTTGTATGGAGTTAGAAAAAAAGGTGTATCGAAAATGCAATTTTTCGTTTCTCCTAATTTTCGTTATTCATCTGTTTTTTTTTTTTAGCTCCAAAATTAGATGGCCAATTTGATAATCGGTTTCGTTTGCCTGTTATATTGGGTGGATCTAGTTTTTTTATTTCCAGTTTTATTCATTAATCTATTGATGATCCGATTGATTGAAATAATCATTTTGATTCATTTCATGATTATTACATTTAGTGCCATCTGTCGGACAAAAACTATTACTTTTTTAATGAAAATTCAAAATTTTTTTCATCACAGCTCACTAGATGGCGAGCATCAGCTAAAAAAAAATTTTTATTTTTATTTTTTTTTCAAATCGAAGAATGAAAATATTTATGGTTATTATCACACAATTTTCAACATCTTGACATTTAGGACCTTAGGGTGTAAAAGAAATTCGTCGATAAACAGACACATAATGTCATGGCAACGATAATAATAATGAATATATCGATAAAATTGATAGATTTTCACATTGTTAACGAACGAACAAACGAACGAAAAAAAAAAAAATCTTCATGTCTTGTGAATAGACAGAACACTGAGCCTAGACACTGAACAAAAAAATAGGAAATGAGTGAATTCACAAAAGAACATATGCATCAATGGATCAACCGACCAACCAACCAACCAGCCCACCATTTCCGCAATGATGATGATGATGATGATGATGGTACACGAAAAGAAAAAATAAAGAAACCAACCACAATCCTGTACATACAATAAGACAATGATATATCAGTCAAGATCATTTGATTGATTAGAAGATTCTTTGGAAAAAAAAATAAAACATGAAACTGACATCGATATATAATAATAAAAAGAAAATTTCGAAGAAACAAAAAAAAAAATCTTTTCATCCTATAGACAGACAACAAACTAGATCAGCGAAAATAATAATAAAGTCAATGAAGACGGGATTCTCATCGCATTTCATTGAATGGAATGAAAAAAAAAAAAAACAGGAAACCGGACAAAAAAAAGAAAGAGGCTGATCTTGACTGGCTTGTGGGCGTCATCATATCAATCATAATAAACATTGTATATAATATAAAATAAGGAATCCATCCATGTGGCTGTACTGAGAAATTATTGAATAAAACAACAACAACAACAACAACAAATAATTGTTACACAAACAAAATCAATCGAATTGAATCAATTTATATTGATGAAAATCGAATCAAATACTTAAATAATAAGAAATGAAACATTTTCGCTATATATATTTTGTTCCATGATTCTTCAATCGGAAATGATGATTTTTTTTTGCATTTTTTTTTGTGGTTATATTCTATGCCATTACTTTTTTTTACAAACTGAGCCACACATGGGTTTTGTGTATTCAAGATAGTTTTTTTTAGCGGTAATTAAATCCGATATTCCGGCGAACAAATAAAGAATTTCCTAGTAAAAACAATTTATTGACAAATCAATCAATGTCGATCAATGAATTTGTAAATTGTTTTGTTGTGTTGTGCATAGATCTTGTGATTTGTTGCCATTTGATTTTTTTTCACTGCCATCCAACAACATTCAAATGAACAGAATGGATAATTTGGCCAACATGGAATTCAGTGTCGAATATACGATTGTAATGTTTTTTATAAGTGAAAATTGGATGTCAAATTTGTTTTCATTTTCATTTTCATTTTTTTTAAATCTCCCCAAACAGTATCCACCATTTATTGGCCTCAAAGAACACGGTTCCACCACGACAATGAAAGGTGTTGATTTTTATCTTTTAATTGAATTAAGTCGACAATTAAATTTCACATTTCGATTGATAAATCTAACCGACAATTGGTATGAACGTTTGATGGCCAATCAAAGTCTTGTGGACATCATAATCGGTGGTTTTCATTTGAATTATGAACGTTCAAAATTGTATAAAAATCTTTATCCATATTTTATGGATCAAACATCGATTATGACAAGACAATCAAAAAATCATGAATCATATCAACATGATCGATTACTTGATCCATTTGATGATTACATTTGGTTGGCCATTTTGTTTTCATTAATACTACTGCCTTTATGGACATTGATTACGGTGCATTGTAATTCAATCAATTCCGATTCGATTCTGGATTCCTGTTCAATATGGTTGTATATTTTGCTCAAACAAAATGTTCTTTCACGTTTAAAACGTGAATCATCGCCCACAATTATTGTATCGGCCGTATGGATTTGGGCCACATTTATGTTGTCCAATTTTTATGCCGGATGTCTACTATCAATGATTAGCATACCAATTAATAATCGTATTGATTCATTACAAGAATTGTCCGATTATTGTCAACAAGAAAAAAATATGGTCGTATTGATGGAAAACAATACGACTACAATGAAAATTGTTCATGTATGTATTACATTTTAATTCATTTTTTCAAATATTTTTCTATTATCCACATATTGAAGATGATGGCTGATAAACCGCTTTTTGCACCAATGATTGCTCATGAACAACTTGTTGATCAACAAACAGAAGCAATTAGCCTTATACTTGATGAATCAATGGCCAAAATGAATGGTAAAAGTTATGCATTTTTACAGTATTATACAATACTGAAAATAATTCAACAAAGTTTCAGCCCTATAAAACATCGATTACATGTGGCCAAAGCAAGTGAACAATCATCCATACATACAAGTCCAACGTGTTTTCTATTCAGATCACAATTTTCATATGTTCGCCAATTCGATCGAATCACTATTCAATTATTTAGCTCAGGTATTTATCAATCATGGCTTGATAATGAATTCCGTACAGCCAGAATGTATATATTTGCCACAACATTGATCAAAAAGTTATCTTATCGTCAAGATGACGGTGAAAACAATCAAAATGATGATGGAAATTTTAATGATGACGATGATGATGATAACGACAGTTTTCGTCATCTAACACTATCACAGTTAATGATCTGTTTTCATCTGTACATGATGGCCATGGCCATGGCCATATTGGTGGCAATTGTTGAATTCTTGTGGTTCAAAAAAAAAACAAAACAAAAATTGTTTTTGTACTTATAAAATTAAGTGATTGAACGAGAAAAAAAAATTATTCCGTGTTCAAATTCTGTTTTGCATTCACTCATATTTATTCAAAATTATTCAGTTGTTGTTGTTGTTGTCGTTGTCGCTTGTTCATTGTTATCGTGAATTTTGTTGTTGTTGTTGTTTTTTTCTTGTTTGACAAAGTTTTTCCATTTGAAATATTAAATTTAAATAATAAATCAACAAGAGAAAAAAAATTTACATTATCGATGTTTGATCGATTTGATTGATTGATTGATATGATGTTCGATTGAGATGGAGAAAAATTCTTGAGAAAACAATCACTGCCACAAGGCAAATTCTGTCGAATTCGACATTGGAAACATGGAATTTTAAATTTGACTGCAAAAAAAAAATTATTATCGAGAATAAAATGTTCATTGTAACCAGTAGTTGATGGTGGTCGGGTTGAAAATTAATCAATTAATAGAATCTAAAACGAAAATTCTTTACTGCACAATTGGTGAAGAGAAAAAAAAAATGTTTTGTTCACTCAATCTATCTATCTATCTATCTATTTATCTATGTCTCTGTATCTTGCCAATATATGTGTGTCCAGCTAGCTATATTGTGATTGTGATTAATTGCTAGTATGGAATGAAATTCCAATCCAGAATAAAGTTTTTTCATGTGTGTGTGTGTGTCAGTTTTCTTTCGTTTTTTACGTTGTTGCTCATTCAAATCGATTGTCAACAAACATTGTGACAGAATACGAAAATTTTTTTTTTATTCTGTAGATACAAAAAAAAATATGACAATAATGACGGAAATGAACAACACATTGTTCAGGTTTCACCAGTGCATAATATTCTTGAAAGTGAGAAAATTAATTTTCGTAAAGTATCGATTTGATTCTGAATGGAAAGAACCAAGTGTCAATAATGCTTTTTTTCTGGTGGTGATGATAAATTTCCGGCCAAAGTAGATGGCAGCACATTTGTTTAATTTTTTTTACACTTTTTCAACAACAACAACAACAACAACAACATTTTTTTTCAAAAGGAAATTGATTCTTCGACAACAACAACAACAACAATAAAAAAAAAGAAAAAATCAAAAAAAATTGATGAAAAAAAAAATTTTTCCAATTCTTCAATTGCCGGTTGCCATTGTCGTGGATTTTTCAATTGATCGTTGAGTTGATTAAATGAATTGTATATGCCAATCACTGGAAAATGGAATGCAAATGAGAAATCGGAAATTTTATTACTCAAAAAGTAAAATTTCAAGAGTTGAAAATTGAATTGTAAAATTATTATGGACACGGATGTTGATGTCAGCAGAAAAATGTTATTTCAAAACCTTTTTTCTCCACCAATTTCAGACTTTCTCTCTCAGGTGAAACACAAAATGCATTCATTTTCAATGGAAAAAAAGAACAGAAAATTTCATGAACCTTAAAAGAAAAAAAAGAAGAATAAAGTAAACATTCGATTGGTTTTTTTTCCTTTTCTTTTTTTTTTGTTAAATTCTGCACTAAAAAAAACTCGAAATTCTCGGTTGGTTAATTCTGTTTAAATTTTTTTTTCTTTTTTTTTTTTGTTCATCAATTTGTTCTGCGTTTCCAGGGATCTTTCTTTCTTTTTTTTTTGTTTCCAGGGATAAAAAAATGTTTGAATATTTAATTAATAGATCACAAACTGACATAGATTGACAATGTGTATGTGAATGTTTTTTGTGTATGCACATTCTGTCAATTATTCGTAGTTTTTTTTTCTTTCAAATCGTTCAGGTAAATGTTTCTCATTTCTGATGGTGTTGAAATTCATTTTTTTTCTACTCGGAATAAGCTCGAATTGTAGAAAAATTCTCAAGTTTATTTTAAAACCGAATGAAAAATTTTTTTTTTTTTTGGGGAAGAAAAAAATGAAATGAAAAAAATTCTTTTGAATGTCGAGTAAGAAGAAATTCTTGTCAATTGTGTGTCCAGTCGTCGTCATTATCAACATCATTATTTTCGGTTTTTGGTCAAGTTTTTTAAAAAATTTGGCAAATTCATTCCTTTTTTCCTCTCTCTCTCTCTCTAGTAAATTTGAAACTATTATTATTTATTGCCCATTTGAATGAAGTGGACATGTTTGTCGTTGTTGTTGTTGTTGTTGTTGTTTATTCTGGCCGATTCTAGTTCGTCCACTTCTTTATTTTTTTTTTTGGGGATACAAAGTTTTCATTTTTTGGGGATTTACACACACACACATACATTTGAATCGGACAACAAGAAAAAAGTTTCTGGACCGTGTTTTTTTCTTTGTTTTGAATCTCTAAAATAAATCAGTTCGGTCACAAAAAAATACATGAAACAAACAAAAAGAAAATCCAAATTTCGACCAAAGAAAAAAAACAGCACCAATTTGAATAAATTGATAAATCATATGGCCCAAAAAAATAACAATTTCTTGTTCCGGTTCTTCTTGAAAGAAAAAAATTTTTTTTTTCTCAAGTACTGGTTTTTGTATCATTTTTTTTTGCTCTTCTTTTGGACCGAAAGCAAAAGAAAAAAAAATTCTGTAAACTTTTCAGTAAATGATGTTTTGTCCATTTCAATTGTTGTTGTTGTTGTTGTTGTTTTCATTTTTCAAGAAACAAAAAAAAAAAACAAAACAGATTTCTCATTCATTGAAACCCTGAAAGACAGCCAAAAGAGCGGCTTAAGCATTTATTTTTTATCATCATCAAAATGAAATTTTTTTTTCTTCAAAAAATAATTTCTTTCCCATTCTTGATTTTGACCATTTATATATTTCGGTCCATCGAATTGCGATGTATGTGTATTGGGTGGCAGTGGTTGCTGGTTGGTTGGTAAGATCGTCTTTTTTCGTCGGATAATAATAACCATTTTTCATGAACTAAATTCTAATTTGACATTTTTTTTTTTTTTTTTTTCTACTGCTTGGTATTCTGGCATGCTGTGCGATATTCTTTAAGAAAGAACCAGAGAGAGAGAGAGAGAGAGAGAGAGATTGCCTGTTGGGTGTTTTAAACGAATTTATTTATTTATTTTATTTCACGAAATAAAAAAAATTGCAATGGTCAGTCCGGTGGAGAGATTTTTTTTTCTATTTTCTTTATGCTTCGATTCTTGAATTTTGTCCGTTTGTTTGTTTGTTTATATTTCAATCCTTCGTCAAATGAAAATTCAACATTTCGTTTTGGTTGAAAAAATTCTTTTTCAACCGAAAAACAAGGAGATTCAGCAGCGATTGAGAAAGAAATTCGACATTTGTAAATTATGCGCTAGGTTAGATGCGTAATCTACGACAACTGAAACATTGAAAAGTTTTATATTTTCGTTAAAATTTTACAATTCCACAATGCATCAATGTCCCATTGGGATAGTTTTTATTTTATTTATTTTTTCATTCAGGTAAAAAATTTGTTTCACAGAGAATTTGCTTTAAATTCGTCGATGATTTCATCTAATTAGTTAATTTGAAAAAAATTTTTTCTTTTTGTTTTTAACTATTTGAACCAGAATTTTCAATGTTTGTGCATCATATTCAAGTGACCAGAATTTTTTTTTATCCATCTCCAACGTTTACGTGATCATGGTAGTGGTCAATATCAGTTTTTCACTATTTACTATGCCACTACTACCACTCATGAAACACATCATATTTGCGTTTACATTTTTTTTATTCAGGTTTCTGCACAACCAAAACCAAAAGAATCGATTTGCTTTTGCGCCCATATAACAACCGTATTCTGTGTGTGTGTGTGTGTCTGTGTGAAAGAATTTCAGAATTTTAGTTTTTCCAGCCATATCTCATATATTCATTCATTTCATTCGATTACATGCATCATGTGCATGCATACGTTGTCACTCAAAAATTCATAAAAAGAAAAGAAATTCTTCTTCATTCTTCTTTTTGCATCAAGAATTTAATGATGAACATTAATATTCAATAAACATCATGATGATCATATCGACTTAATCGAATTTGACATTTTTTTGTTTGCCTCCATGACAATTTGTTTATTTGCAGTGATAAAAATTTTTTTTATCAAATTTCAATCATCAATAATTGCAATGGAACAATCCATATGATATCGATCATCATTCAGAATTCAAATCAATCATCAATCAATGAATAATAATTCTTGAAAAAAAAATTCAGCATCTCATTCTGTGTGTGTTTGTGTGTGTTGTGAATTTGATTGAAATTTCCTCATTCATTCATATTTATTCTTGCGACAAAAAAAAACAAAAAGTAAGTTGACAGAATGGAAAAAAAACTCATCAAAATTCATATTTCAAAATAAATGACATTTGCAGGTGATAATTTGCTTGTTTAATTTTGTTTTTTTGTTTTGTTTTGTTCTTTAAATGTTAATTTTCATCCAAACAAAATTTTTGGAAAAAAAACTTGCCTGATATTTATTCAATGAACTTGCCAACAAAAAAAAAATTCTGGCAAAATTCCGAAAAAAATAGAATCATCGTCACTAGTAAAAACTGATTAGCTCTTCATCATCATCAACATTGTTGTTGTTGTGGTTCAAATTGAAATTCTTGATTCTTTTACATCCACTAGCAAAGCAAAAAAAAAACATTGGAAAAATTGTCCAACATCATTGTAATTATCGTTGACAAACAAATGACTTGCACACACACACATTGTTGTTGTTGTTGTTGTTGTTATCCTTCCAACAACAAACAAACAAGATCAGACAGGCCCAAATCTTGTCCAAAAATGAAAATATTCTCAATCTCTTTTTATTTGTTACTGTTGTCCATTTTGGTTTCGAAAAGAAAAAAATCCAAACCAAAGCCGAACCAAAATGAAACAACAACAAAACAACAACAACAAAAAAAACTCAGAGTCTTGATTAATCAAATTTAAGCCAATTATCTCTCTTTTTTTTTTTTGTTTTTCATTTGTTTCAAATGTTTTTTTTTTGTTTTGTTTTGTTTTCTTCGGAAAATGGTCATTTTTTGATCAAGAATATTTTTCTTTTCTTGGCTAGATGGCCAAGGA